GTCTCGTGGTTCTACAACCGCATCTCCCCCGAGCTTCTCTCCATGGTCTCGGAAGACACCGACACCGCCTACTCCATATGGCGCGGCGTCCGCAACCTCTTCCGCGACAACAAGGACACTCGCGCCGTCTACCTCGGCGCCGAGTTCCGCAACTTCTACCAAGGTGATCTTAACGTCCTCGACTACTGCTCTCGCATGAAGGTCATGGCCGATCGCCTCGCCGGTCTCGGGGCCCCGGTGAACGACAAAGATCTCATCTACAACATCGTCCGCGGCCTCAACCCTCGTCTCCACCACGCGATCCCCCACATCACACTTCGCCGCCGTCTACCGTCATTCCTCAAGACGCGGTCCATGCTGCAGCTTGAGGAGCATCGCATCAACGAGTCGGAGAAGTCGCAGGCTGCGGCGGCGCTTGTCGCTCACACCGCGAACGCCGGCACGTCATCGTCCACGGCACCCACGGCGACACCGTCGACCGCTCATCTTCAGTCCGCGGCGGCCTTCGTCGCCAATGCCGCGCTCGGTGTTCATACACCGCACGGCGCCCCGGCCAATCCGCCCGCGACAACGCATGCATCCTCCAACGGCGGACGTCCTCCGTCGAACTCCTTCTCCAACAAAAAGAAGAAGAAGAAGGGCCCTGCATCCACCACGGCGCCCCCACCAGGCTTCTAGCCCACACTGAACCCATGGACGGGTATGGTGCAGGCTTGGCCATTCACATCCTCGCCGAACGCTCCTTCGCCCACGCCTGGCGTCCTCGGCACGCGCCCTTCCTCCGTGGCTCCGTAGGCCCATGTCGCCGGTGCGTCTTCCCAGCTGGACCCACAGCTGCTCGCCACACTGAACAACATATCGCTCCAGTAGCCCCAGTCCGCAGGAGATTGGTTCCTCGACACTGGCGCCTCATCCCATATGTCGCAAGGCTCCGGTAACATCTCCTCTCTCCTTCGTAACTCTTCCTCCACCCGAATCATTGTTGGTAATGGCACCTCCTTACCCATTACACACACTGGTTCATCTTCTTTTCCTACTCACTCATATCCGCTCTCCCTGAACAATGTTCTTGTCTCTCCATCACTCATTAAAAACCTCATTTCAGTTCATGCTCTTACTCGTGACAATCCCATTACAATTGAATTTGACAATTGTGGTTTCTCTATCAAGGATCGCGACACCAAGGCGGTCCTTCTCCACAGTGATAGCGCCGGTGATCTCTACCCACTCCACCCGACGCCATCCTCCACCTCCACACACTGCCTCGCCACCGTTTCTGCAGATCTTTGGCATCAGCGGCTCGGTCATCCCGGCAAGGAGTCATTCCGTCGCCTTCTTCAAACTTTTGAATTCACTTGTAATAAGGAATTGTCACACACCTGTCATGCTTGCCGCATTGGCAAACCTGTGCGCTTACCATTTGCTCCTTCTCAGCACAAAACTACTGAAGCTTTTGAATTAATTCACTGTGACGTCTGGACGTCACCTGTTTCTAGTTTCACTGGCTATCGCTATTATCTTGTGCTCCTAGATGACTTCACGCATTTTGTCTGGACATTTCCTTTGCGCAACAAGTCTGAAGTCGCAGCAAAGATCATGTCATTCCATGCTTACATTCGCACACAGTTCGCCCGTCCCATTCGCGCGTTCCAGACCGACAATGGTCGTGAGTTTGATAACTCAGTTCTGCGCAAATTCTACACCGACAATGGCATTCTTCTACGTCTTTCTTGCCCATATACTTCCCAACAAAATGGAAAAGCTGAGCGCATCCTACGAACTCTGAATGACGGCGTTCGTGCACTCCTCCTTCATGCCGCGATGCCACCGCTATTCTGGGTTGAAGCGCTTCAGACATCTACTTTCCTTCTGAACCGCAAACCCTGCAAGCCTCGCTCTATGGCCACCCCCTTTCTCCCTGCTCTTCAACACCGACCCCGACTATGCATCCCTTTGCGCCTTCGGGTGTCTGTGCTACCCAAACACTGAATCCACCAGCCCTAACAAGCTTTCACCACGTTCAATGGCTTGTGTTTTCATTGGTTATTCGCAGGATCATCATGGCTATCGATGCTACAACCTGACGAAGCGGAAAGTCCTGACATCGCACCACGTTCACTTCGACGAGGTCGTGTTTCCCTACCGCTCAGGGCTCGCGACGTCGTCCCCAACAACCTGTGCCTACGATCCGTGGCGACCGGATCTCTCTGATGACGTGGTCCCACCGCCGCAGATCCTGGATCCATCGTCTCCGCGATCACCGCGTGCCCACCCAGAACCGGGCACGCCACGCAGACCGGACGCCACCTGTGGCTCTCCGCAGGCCATGACTTCGTCAGCACCCACGTCTCCAACGGCCACACGACGCGGATCTCACTCCCCGCCGATCACGCCAGCCTCGACATCTGCAGCACCAGCCGCATCCGCAGCACCAGCCGCGCCCACACTCGCGGACACCCGTGCATCGCACCCGATGGTGACCAGGGCGCGCGTGGGGACATTCAAGCCGAACCCACGCTACGTCGGCGCTGCAACCACGACGACTACTGCAGCCACGACTACATCGCCTAGGCCTGGAGATGGGTTTGCCTAGGCCTGGAGATACTTGATGGGGATCTCGTTACAAAACTGTATGCAGCATCATTACCATGTATGAAGCAATCCATGATGTACTAGTTGATCTTGGGGATGATCCTACATATAAGGATGATTGGACCAAAACACATTTTGTGACCGGAGCATTTGAGAACTTTGAGTTTGTTTTCTTTGCACACTTAATGTATAGTATTATTGGATATACGAATGAGTTATCTGAGTGTTTGCAAAGAAGGGACCAAGATATTCTTAATGCAATATCACTTGTTAATGTGGCAAAGAAAAGAATGCAAAAATTGAGGTCGGATGGTTGGGATAATTTTCTTGAGAATGTCACTTCATTTTGCGATAAACATGGTGTTGAAGTTCCTGCTATGGATGATGATTATGTTCCTTATGGAAAATCAGCGAGGAAAGCTCGTGCCCAAAAGCAAACCAATGATGACCACTTTAGAAGAGAAGTATATATTGGTGTCATTGATCAAATAAGTCAAGAACTTGATAATCGGTTTGATGAGATTAATATGGAGTTGTTGTCTTGTATGTCGGCCTTCAGTCCTTCCAAGTCATTTGCTTCTTTTGATGCACAGAAGCTACGTAGACTACATCGCCAATCCCACGAACAATCAATCAGGCACTCCAAGACCCCAACTGGCGACAGGCAATGCAGTCCGAGTTCGACGCTCTACTCGCTAACAAAACATGGGAGCTCGTTCAGCGACCTCCTAGTGCACATGTCGTCAGCGGCAAATGGATCTTCCGCCACAAGTTCAAGGAAGATGGCAGCTTTGATCGGTACAAGGCGCGATGGGTGGTGCGCGGGTTCACCCAACGCGCAGGAGTTGATTACGACGAGACATACTGTCCCATCGTGAAACCGGCAACGGTGCGCACGGTGCTCACGCTGGCTGCTCAACACCGCTGGCCTGTACATCAACTCGACGTCAACAACGCCTTCCTTCATGGCGTCCTCGATGAACAGGTCTATGCTCGCCAGCCCGCCGGCTTCGTCGACTCATCAGCTCCAACATCGGTGTGCCGCCTCTCCAAGAGCCTCTATGGCTTGAAGCAGGCGCCCAGGGCGTGGTACATGCGGCTCGCCACGTTCCTCGGCACGATGGGATTCAAGCCCACTCAATCCGACAGCTCACTCTTCGTCCTTCGGCGCGGCAAGGAGTCCGTGTATCTTCTTCTCTACGTCGACGACATCGTGCTCACTGCATCGTCTAACGACATCCTGCGCCGCGTCATCAGCACCATCAACGCCGAGTTTGCCCTCAAGGCCATGGGCCCGGTCCACTACTTCCTCGGCATCCAGGTTCAGCGCAACGGCGATGGCTTCTTCCTTCAACAGCAACAGTACGCCATCGACCTCCTTGAACGAGCTGGCATGACTGAATGTCGCCCCTGCGACACGCCGATCGACACCAACGGCAAGCTCTCCAGCGACTCCGGCTCGCCGCTGAACACAGTGGATGCCTCGGACTACCGCAGTCTGGTCGGTGCTCTTCAATACCTAACGATGACACGGCCAGACTTGCAGTATGCCGTGCAGCAGGCTTGTCTATTCATGCACGCTCCAACAACGGCGCATCAAGCTCTCGTGAAGCGAATACTTCGCTATGTCCGTGGCACCACAGCACTTGGTCTACATCTGCGGTGCTCCGACCACAACGATCTCGTCGCCTACTCCGATGCGGACTGGGTCGAGTGCCCGGACACAAGACGATCTACTTCAGGCTTCTGTGTGTTCATGGGTGGCGCCATGATCTCGTGGTCATCAAAAAGGCAGACGACGGTCTCTCGTTCAAGCGCCGAAGCTGAATACCGAGGCGTCGCCAACGCCGTAGCCGAGTGCACTTGGCTCCGGCAACTGCTAGGCGAACTGGACAGTCCCCTCACGAAGGCCACCATCATCTTTTGCGACAATGTCTCCGCCTGCTATATGAGCTCCAATCCAGTGCACCACAAACGCACAAAACACATTGAGCTTGATGTGCACTTCGTCCGCGAGAAGGTCGCAGTCGGACAATGCAAAGTTCTACATGTACCAACAGCATAGCAGTACGCCGACGTCATGACTAAAGGTCTACTGACGGCAATCTTCAAGGAGTTCCGAACCAGTTTGTGCGTCGCCGGCAACAACGCTCATACTGCGGGGGGTGTTAGCGACCTGTACTATACTTAGTTAGCACGTTCCTGGCTCTCCTTAAGTGTAGCTATTGTTAGTTATCTGACTGCCGTGATGTACATGTATAAGAGGCGTAAGCCCTGATCAATACAACTTGAGTTGTCTGCATTCTTTCTATTCAGTTCTTACAGTTACGTACGATGATATGTACATACTGCACTGTTCAGAATTTACATATACCAACATTTCAAGCTTGAGACCCGTCACTTCTCGATTACACCAGCGTGGAGCACGCCGACGTGTCGGGGTCGAACAGCGCTGGGAGCAGGTACTTCCTCCCGCGCGCGCCGTGCGCGTTGTAGCTGGCGCCCATCGCCGCGTCCACGAGCAGCCGCCCGGCGTACCCGGGGTACGCGCCCTTGCCGTACACGCCCGCGCACGCCGTGGCGGCCTCCACCGGCGCGGCGCGGTCGCCCTGGTAGAACCTGTCGCCGAACGGGTTGGTCACCGCGCCGGCGACCATGCTGGCCACGCTGATCACCACGCCGTCCATGCCCGCGTCCCCGCTGGGCAGCACCAGCGGCGGCGGCGCCTGCGGCCCGTACGCCGGCTGGTGGAAGGGCCACGCGCACTGGCCCGGGCACTGGTCGGCGGGGTTGCCCATCCACGCGTACGCCGCTGCCGCCTCGCGGGACCGGGACCGGGACCGCGCGTCGTCGTATGAGTACGACCCGTGGTGGCCGCACCGGCTCATGCAGAAGCCCTCCACGGCCACGTCCCGCGCCGTGAGCACCAGCGCGACGCCGCCCTGGCCCTTCGCGGGGCGTGCCGCGGCCGCCGCCAGCGATGGAAGCTGGGACAGCTTCAGGCTCTTCCCCAGCGAGCAGCCCTCGTCGGTGACATTGAGTGGTGTTTTCCGTTTTCGAGTGTGAAGAGCAAAGCCAAGCTGAGAGCTGTTTTTTACATAGGGGTGCCTCGCGCAGATGTGATTGTATTGTATCTATACCGATAATAAGACGATAATTAAGCATGCGAAAAGAAATCACCTTGTGATATATTTGCGGCCCTATATTTATGGTGTTTCGATTTCAAGGACCAACTAGCTCACTCCTATATATCAAGTGATCTAGCAGCTATCAGAACTCAGAAACAGGGCGGTCTCTGTGTTCAATAAGGAGCCAAACGGTTCACTGAAAAGGGTTAGGGCATGTTTGGAAGCCCGGTTTTTTGTCTAAAACACTTGTAAATTACAGGTATGTAAATTTTTTCAACCCAATTCGAAATTAGCCGTTTGGATGACCGGTGACCATACTAATTTTACATTTGGATTGGACCAAAACAGGTGTAACAGAAAACAAACCTCCTCAGCTCTGGATAAAAATACGACAATTATCGGCTTCCTCCCGCAGCCCCCGTCCCCCACTTCTTTCTTCCCCGCCGCACGAGAGGGCTTGCCGCGCGCTCTCGCCGGCCAGCCGCCACACGCCAGGAGGCCGACCCACAGCTTGCGCGCCACTCTCGCCGGTCGGCCTTCCTACGTTAGGACGCGCGCCCCGCCAGATCGCGAACCCACAAGGTCACCTGCGCAGCTGCGGTGTACCTCGCCCAACGCCGCCTCCTCCATCCCCGTATGCACTGGTCAGATCTCCACCGGCGGCCCCCATGGCTAGATCTAGGATTTGGATGGGGAGGAGTCGACGCTCGGGGATATGGAAGGGTCAGGTGAGTGGACTGCTATGCGATTTTCAGCTTCGCGGTGGCAGCGGCGTCGGGGGCGTCCTCGTTGTCGGGCCGGCGGCAACCGTACGGCCGTCTTCCACCTGAAGTACTGCGTTGGCGCTAACAAGAAGGAAGCAAGGAGGAGGAGGAGGAGGCCGAGACGCTGGAAGCCCTCTTCACAAGGGAGCTCCGGTGGCGCAGGATGGGAGCTCCGGTGGCGCAGACAACTACGAGCAAGCGTCGCTTGTAACTATGGATGAAAACGGTACGGATATTTATTCGACCGTCCCTTCGACCGAACAAATATAAACACTTATTGGATAGTTACTCGGATATCCGTATTTTTTTTCGGATACGGATAATAAAACGGATATCTTAGGCGGATATCAAATACGGATGTAATATCATCGATATCCGGCGGATATCGGATAATCCGGTTAAGTATCGGATATATCCGGATATTTAAAAATGTATATTATCCGGATATTATTCAAACGTCCTTGGATGGAGAAATGATCAAAATAAAAATTGTAGATCTCAAAAAGTTATGAAACTTTGTTGTTTACAACTTTTTCGTTTGAAATCATTTAGTGCTTCAAAATTTAAACCGTCCAAACTTTCTCAAATGAAAAACTAGTTTATAGGCGTCAAAATTTAAAAATCACAAATTTGAACCATCCAAACTATCTCAAATGGAAAGTTGACCAAAACAACAATTGTAGATCTTGATGAGTTGAACAAACTTGGTATTCAAAACTTTTCAATTTGAAGTCATTTAGAGTTCATAATACTAGAGTCAAAGTGTTGTTTTTTCATTTGACCAAATTTGACTTGGTCAAACTTGCTCAAATGAGACACTAAATGACCTCAGATGAAAAAACTCTGAATACCAAGTTTGATCATCTCAGCAAGATCTACAATTGTTACATAGCTCATTTTCCCATTTGAGAAAATTTTATCAAACACTAGTCACAAATTCTTGAATCTCATATAGACTTTCTGAAACTATGTCACACACTTGTGAAATTTGAACTATATTTTGTTCAAACTTTCTCAAATAAAAAAATGGCCTATATAAGGATTGTAGATCTTGATGAGATGAACAAATTTGGTATTCAAACTTTTTCAATTTGAGACAATCTAGGGTTCCGAAAACTAGTTTGTAAACGTCGAAATTTAAAAATCACAAATTTGAACCATCCAAACTATCTCAAATGGAAAGTTGACCATAACAACAATTGTAGATCTTGATGATTTGAACAAACTTGGTATTCAAAACTTTTCAATTTGAAGTCATTTAAAGTTCATAATACTAGAGTCAAAGTGTTGTTTTTTCATTTGACCAAATTTGACTTGGTCAAACTTGCTCAAATGAGACACTAAATGACCTCAGATGAAAAAACTCTGAATACCAAGTTTGATAATCTCAGCAAGATATACAATTGTTACATAGCTCATTTTCCCATTTGAGAAAGTTTTATCAAACACTAGTCACAAATTCTTGAATCTCACTTTCTGAAACTATATCACACACTTATGAAATTTGAACTATATTTTGTTCAAACTTTCTCAAATGAAAAAATAGCATATATAAGGATTGTATATTTTGATGAGCTGAACAAACTTGGTATTCAAAACTTTTCAATTTAAGACAATCTAGGGTTCCGAAAACTAGTTTGTAAGCATCGAAATTTAAAAATCACAAATTTGAACCGTCCAAACTATCTCAAATGGAAAGTTGACCAAAAACAAGAATTGTAGATCTTGATGAGTTGAACAAACTTGGTATTCAAAACTTTTCAATTTGAAGTCATTTAGAGTTCATAATACTAGAGTCAAAGTGTTGTTTTTTCATTTGACCAAATTTGACTGGTCAAACTTGCTCAAATGAGACACTAAATGACCTCAGATGAAAAAACTCTGAATACCAAGTTTGATCATCTCAGCAAGATCTATAATTGTTACATAGCTCATTTTCCCATTTGAGAAAGTTTTATCAAACACTAGTCACAAATTCTTGAATCTCATATAGACTTTCTAAAACTATGTCACACACTTGTGAAATTTGAACTACATTTTGTTCAAACTTTCTCAAATGAAAAAATGGCCTATATAAGGATTGTAGATCTTGAATCCATGACCATGACTCCATGAGACCTATGAAGCCATGAGCTTGGCTATTTCTACTCATGCCGCAAAGATTGGTGCTTGTATGATGTTTGATGTATGATGTATCTGTATCTTTATCTTATTTGTTGCTTTACTCTTTAGTCTTTCGGCTTAATCTAGATGGATTATGGACTCATAGAGTGGTGTAATGGTTTGCGCACGTATGATATATATATATATATATATGTATGCTGCTTTTACTCAATATCCGAATAGATATTTGTATCTGACCTTCTCCGAATCCGATTCATACCGTATTCGATACTCATTATTCGTATCCGTAACCGAGTCAATCCGTATTCGTATATGTATCCGAATGCTATCCGTGTCCGAATCCAAATCCGAACAGAAATATGAAAACAAATATAATATGAGCGATATCCGTTCGTATCCGTTCCGTTTTCACCCCTACTTGTAACTAGTGACAAAAACTTTTCATCCAAACACCATGTCACAGGCATAAAAATGATCCACTCATCCAATGGTATTATTGTGCACAGAAAATTACAAATGGAAGCCATTTACAGCTGTAAAAAATCACAGAGCAGCCAAACAGGGCCTTAGTGGTTCAAGAAAGAATCGGCTTTCCCTTTGATGCCTCGAACCATGCATTTCCCTTTAATTTTGTCAAAATCTCATCAAACCTACCATGAGCGTCACACGGTCAGGAACTTGTGCGCAGGACATGCCTGCTTTGGCCTTTAAACACCACTAAAATGGCTCTCTGCTAGCCATGCGTGTATGGAGGTTTATTTAGCAATAGATCAGCCTCCGGATTCATTTGGATTAGGACGGTGGTGTCCTGCAGGATTAGGACGTGAACGGTGAACTGACTTGAAATCGTAATCGCCACCGGGGGCCCGGGGCAGTCAAACAAACGTACTCCTAGCATTGATCGGACCACGTTTAATTGGAGGGCCCTCCTCATGATGATGGCTTTTGAGATGGGAGCTCCGTTGGAACGTTCCTTTGCCAAGGGAAAGTTGGCGCCGGGACTAGATATCTCTGCATCATTGCTCCGTAATGTACGGAGTATGTACATGCATGCACTTACGTTCAAAAAAAAAAATGTACATGCATGCACGCGTGAGCAATCACGGTCCACTGTCCCATCACACTACCAGCTGGATGCCTCTATCTATTTTTATTTAATTATTTATCACCATTATATTTTTTTTTCCTGAAGTGATATATAGCGACTAGTGAAACGAACCTGAACGATTTTTCACAGGCTGTCCTATTCATTTCTTGAGATAATGAACGAATAGCTACCGTTGTTTATCGCTCAATTCAAAATTAATCTTCTTTAATTTGTCTGAGTACGTGACAGAATATTTGGTGTACATTTTCTTGTCAAGATTAAAAGCGGAACAAAGGCGCTTGGACTTGGACCTGGCAGAGCCGCGTGTACTAGCAAGTCTGCAAGTGTATGTAATCCGATCGATGATTGATGTCTAGGCCCATCCATCCGACCATCCCCTACAAAGCAGGCTACACAAGTGTGAAGTGTCAGTGTGTACTGGCATCATGCGCCGCTAGCACCGTGCGTGACCGGATAACCTAATCACACCAAAGGCATCCGATCCGTCGACAAGGGTTACCGGCAAAGCAAAAGATTAAGCTCGAGAGGCCATCAAGCCCATCATGTAATTGTAATCCCGGCACAGCTAGCTGGCGGCCATGCACTTGAGCCTGTTCCAAAATTTACTTGATCTCTGGTTTTTTTTACAGCATACTTGATCTCTGGTTGTGTCTTTCTGGTACATTAGAAGAATACCCCGCGCGTTGCTACGGGAATTACGGATTAAGATTGCGTGGCATGATGACGTGGACAAATAAAATACTTATGTGTCTTGCTGACGTGAACATTACAATTGTATGGGCTAGTGGATTTTAATTGTGTGTGATAATGAATTGTCTAGTTGGACAACTTGTATGTTGAGAGAAATATGTGACTTGCTGACGTGGATATTATAATTGCATGGGCTAGTGGATTTTTAATTGTGTGTGATAGTGGATTGCCTAGTTGGACAGCTTACATGTCGAGAGAAATATGTGGTGGGGTTTGACTTTATAAGAGTATAAAATATAATAGGACAGAGGGAGAAGTAATGTGTATGTTGTCATCACTATATGACGTTGTGGACATAATATATGTATTGAGGCCCATAAATGAATCGTTGGTGTCTGGTGAGAAATACTCCATCCGTGTTGTAGTGCATTCTAGTGTTCTTATGACAAATTAAGACAAAATACAAAAGACACATGTAGCCTTACTTTATTTTTCTTAATCAGACACTATATGAATTCATGAGCATGATTAATGCAGATTGGTTAATAAATAGCAAGTAACTATATAATACCTACCAAAAATTATATTTAATGCAAAACTATCTTTTCTCTCCTAAAATCCCTTATTTTTTAGATAATAAATCCCTTATATTTGTGTACAAATTTTAAATGCTTAAATACACTACTCCCTCCGCTTTGAAATATAAGAAAATCCAGTTTTGTCCTAAGTCAAACTACAATAATTTTGACCAAACTTACAAAAAAGAATATTAACATCTACCACATCAAAAGATGTATATATTATAAAAATATATTTCATAATGTATCAATTAAGCTAATTTGAAGTCTTACTTATTTTTCCTTCTTTTTCTATAAACTTGGTCAAAGTTACTATAATTTGACTTAGGGCTAAATCGAATTCCTTATACTTTTGGATAGAGGGAGTACATTATAGGACGAATAAAGTAAGAAAATATTTGGAGCGTGTCCTTTAGTGGCTATCCATATGGATCATGCCAGTTAAAAAAGGAAATTTTAGTTTTCCTTATTTGATGAGCATCAGATATGAGGGTCTTTTTTGAGAGTGTTTTATAAAAGAGTATATGGTTAAACTAAAAATATTGTTGTCAGTAACCATTTTTTTTACATGTTGTAATGTATCCACGCGAAATAATGCATACTTCTCGTTTTAATATTGGACACGAACGAAACAACATTACACATAGATTACAATTTTCACTGAAATGGCGATCCATATGGATCGCTAGCGCAGATGGTGATATATCTTTCATCCAACCATCATGCCACATAATTGCCACGACATATTTGCTGCTGTTTTATTTGACCAAAAAATTATTTCTCACCAAGTAAATAAAACGGATAAAAATGTATTCCGCCATCCATTTCAAGTCCGCGACATATAAGTCTATGTTTGTGATTTTTTTATTAGAGGATTCAATTTTGCAAATAAAAGGTAAATAAAAAATGAAAGATGCCACAACATGATTTTTCTTTTTTGGAGAAACTACGACGACATGAGATTGTTAGCAGCTCCAAGGGCCCAACTCCAATGTACGGCTGATCCATCACACAGGCCCAAACTGCGTGTATTGGGCTACAAGCACCCGGACCCGGTGCAGCCATGGCGGTGCGCGTGACGTGTCCGTTTCCCCCTTCTTTCTCTATCCGCATTGGGCCTTGCCCCGGAGACTTCGCCAGGCACATCCGCTGGTTTTCGCCCTTCGGGCGCACCTCCTCTCCTTTTTCGCGAATCAGTTTTTCTCGCCGATAAGCAGCTCAGCACCCGCAGCCCGCGGGAAGAAGATGTCGTACCTGCTGCCTCATCTCCACTCGGGTGGGCGGTGGACCAGGCCATCCTCGCCGAGGAGGAGCGCCTCGTCATCATCCGCTTCGGCCACGACTGGGACGAGACCTGCATGCAGGTATCGAGCAACATCCTAACCCTAGATTCTAACCATCCTTCTGTTTGTTCTACTTTGGGGTGAGGCGTCGCTGGGGGCGATGGGGTTGTGCGGTTATTGAATTCGTGGAGGTCGAGGCTGTGCGTAATTCAGGAAATTGGGGGTAAGGATCCCGTGGGCGTTGCAGTAGGCTGTTCGAGTTCAGGAGAATCGAGTCAAGGGCTCTGATTGCTTATGCTATAGGTGAACTGTAACAGTTTTGCTGCTTTAGTTTCTGCAATCCGTGCTGCCTTCATGCTAACTTGAACATTAGGCGCCCTGTCATGATCATCTGACCAAACTTATAACGGCTAAACTATGTGGCCAAAATTTAGCGATTTTAATAAAAGGATGAACTATTTTGAAACACAGGCTCCAATTTGAAGAGCACGCTTTAGTGTCCCAGTGATATCTCTCAGCATCTCCGTGACTCCGTCACTCCGTATAGCTCTTTCCCTGAAAACACACAACATTTTGGCAGTTCCATAAGCACATTTGTAGTATGTTTACTAATCCATAAAGCTGTGCTTAACACCATGTTGCAACTGGCATCAGCTGTTCAGCAGCCAGCACGGGTTGCATGGTGTCCTGGATCATGTTCCCGTGTCTCTGCTTTGTGATGCGGTGTTCAGCTGTTATGTGGGGAAAGTCATTCAAGCGTTGCAGCAAGAAGGCAAGCAGTGGCTGATTAGGCAAGTCTTAGGCATAATTAGAAAGGGAAACAAATTGAGAGAATTAAGGAAATAAGGTAGGTAATTGAGAGTGATAGAATTAAGGAGTGATTGGAGCTGGCCACTGGCCTTTGTAAAGCCACTCGGCTGATAGAATGAATCAAGAATGAAATTACCTATCTCTTCTTCCCTCTAATCAAAATAGGGAGCCGAGGGGCAAAACCTCGCTCTCCTCCTAACTGAGACTACGATCTGTGTAGTCAAGGTACCCCTCCTACTCCTTCCCTGCCACCTTACCGACGCCATAACATCAGCAGTATGATAGTATCTTGTGTAGGTCATCTCTGGCTGAATAGGTCTCGCATTTTTTTTCTTGGAGTGGTGTGGTGCATTGCATTTTCCATAATGGATCCTGGACCACTCTGGATTGGGACTCTGTCTGGAGGCTGCAGAGTTTATTGTGGTTGATAAGAACCCAGGGGGGGACTGAACTGAGGGAGCGGTTGCATCATGCTGATTTCGTGGAAGGGCACATGTACTACCCTGTTGTTTCATTAGTTCCTTTTGGAATGGATATTGTGGGCCTCAACTGAAGTAAATATGCTTGTGTTTTGGGTCTTTGGAGATGGGATGAGCTGGACTTGAGGACTTGTGTTCAAGACTTAGGTTGTAGTTGTCGAAAAGCATCCTTGTTTCTCAGATCTCAATAAGGTCTCTGCAAAGGTGTAGTCTAACAGTTGCTTGCTTATCATCTTTTTTCTTGTTGACACTGTTGTGCCGGAATGAAGTGTCACCGGCCTTGATATGAAGTGGTTTATTCCTTCTCCTTGTCAATACAATCAACTGGGTTACAAATATTGCAATAGTTTTTTACTACTCTGTGTGCAGTCTGTCTTCCATCACCTAAGCTTCTGTGTCGATATTATCCATATTTACTTGCTTCAGAGTTCAGATTCCTAATGGAAGAATTGATGAACTTAGTCAGTCCACTCAATGTATGTAATTATACTATTGCAATTTGCTACAATGTAGTGGGCAATTTTGTGACACATTTGTGTGTTTTATACATCATAAACAAGCTATTATTTGATACGATTATTTCAAAGATACACTTCCATGAAATTGGATTACTAATCAATGACTTGTCATGTATCCATTTCTCCCCTTATACGTTTGTTTATTGTAGTAGGTATATTAGATTTTGCAACCAGTGCTGCCTTCATGTTAATTACTAATTAGTGAGCATGAGTAGGGGTTGCTTAGGTTAGGGTAATACTGATGATAGCCAGGGTTCTAGACAGCTCAGATTCTGCTTGGCCGATTGAAACATGTGGGAGGGCCATTTGTTATGATCTGTAAACTCACCATTTAGCGCCTGTCGTTGATAGCTCCCTGCTTGGCTATAGTATCAATAAAGTGTAAGATGGTACTATCTGTTAGTCGCTGAATTCTCACTTTTGGTAGTAGCAGAATTCTTACTCTCATCGAGAGAGGATGACACTAGGAGTTGGGGTAATTTTCTGGTTTATTTCTCACACAAACTCACACAAATGCCATGCCAACCTGAGGGGTTGGGGATACATATTTATAGGCTGCTAGCCAGCCAAGCATATGCCAAAATGCTAGTCTAAGATGCTAATATGCTGTCCTCTAAGATGCTATCCTAAGATGCTGTCCTAGCTAAGATGCTGCTGCTGTCCTCTCAGTCAAGACAGCTGCAAGGATGCTGTCCTCTCAGTCAAGATGCTGCTGCAGCCAGCCCCACAAAGACCAACTGCAGCTAGCCCCACAAAGACTGCCAATAGAGACTTATCCCATCATTCTCCCCCTAAGTCTTGTGCGTCGTCTTGTGGGAAAGTTGAACCATCCCGGTCCTAGAGCAGAGCTCAAGGAACTTGATCCTCCCAAGGGGCTTGGTAAGCAGGTCCGCAAGCTGGTCCTTGGTGTTAATGTAGCTCATTTGATGCTCCCTTCCTCCAACAGCGACCTCGGATGAAGTGGTACTTCACCCGGATGTGCTTGTCATGCGTTCATGGAAAACGGGGTTCTTTGCGGTGGCCAGAGCGGACTTGTTGTCCACCCCAGAGCTCCACCGCTCTAGTGTCTCTGCCGAGGAGATCACCAAGCAATCGAACGAGTCGAGGCGCTGAGTTGAAGCAAAGGAGGCCGCTATGTACTCGGCCTCGCACCGACAGGGGCCACCACCGGCCGCTTGACCGATCGCCAAACTAACGAGGCACTTGCCGAGGAAGAAGAGGATCCCGCTTCGTGCTCTTCTTTGGTGTCGATGTCATTTGGCGTGGTCGTGGTCATTGTCGTTGTGCCCGACGGCGTGCCGCCTCAGAGCACCTAGGGTAGTAGAGGCCGTGGTTGAGAGTCCTCGCAACGTAGCGGATGATCCTCTTCACGACTTCTACCGGTGCTCCGTTGTCGGTCGTTGCATGAACCGACTAACGAGCCGACGGAGAATGCCAAGTCCGACTGTGTGTGGGCGAGGTAGCGAAGGCTCCCCACAAGACGCCGCATCTGCACGAAGCGCCCACCTCCTCCGCTCATCTTTCGCGGCTCGCTTCACCTTCTCCATCGGAGTGAGAGCTGGATTGCGCCGGTGAGCCCAAATAGCTCAACGACACGCTTATGCGTGGGCGCGGTCTGTCAAGCGTGATCCCGAGTCATCCCGGTGCACCTTGATTCCTGTGTAGAAGGAGAGAGGCCCTGTGTCACTCATCCGGAAGGTGGCCTTCATCTCTTCCTTGAATGTCGCCACCTCCGCATCCTTGGTGCCGGTGATCACCAAGTCGTCGACGTGAGACACCCACCAACAGAGCATTTCCTCCATCGCCCGTCGGTAGATGGTCGCCTCGTCGCGAGCTTTGCTCAAGCCCATCCCTTTAGCATGGAATCCACTTGGCATTCCACCCTCGGTGCTCGCCGCAGAAGCCATAGAGGGCCTTGCGCAGGAGGAGCACCTTGCCCTCCTTGCCGGGATCGCAAATCCGCTGGGTGGGTGTACGTACGAGACCTCCTCCTTCAAGTCATTTGCGGCGAACGCCGACTTGACGTCCATGTGATGAACACGCCAGCCCTCCTGGGCAGCTAGCGCAAGGAGGAGTTGCACGGACTCCATCCGTGCCATGGGAGCAATTCATCCCTCTTTAGCTTGTACACCCACTTAAGGGTGATCGCGCGGTGACCACGAGGAAGGTCAGCAAGCTCCCAGGTGCGGTTCTTCTCAACCGCATCCATCTCCAACTGCATCGCGGCGCGCCATGCCGCATGTCTCTCGGCCTCTGCAAACGACCGAGGCTCGCCGTCGTCACACGCAAGGTGCAACTGCGCCTCCAGGTCATGAGGCACCGGTCCTGGCACCGGCTGGTTGCCGAGAAGGTTCTCCATCGTACAGTACCGCAACGGCTCACCGTCGTGGTACGCGTCAATGCGGTCCTTGTCGTGAGAGAGCGGAGTAGCGAGCTCAACCGGGCTGTGCTCGACATGAGCTGGTGGTGGAGTAGATGTGCCCGGAGTGGTGTCTATCGGTGCTGGAGTGCGTGGCGCTGCTTACCGTGGGTGGAGCCAATGAAGAACTCATCGCAACCGAGGTCCCGGCCGGAGAGCGTGGTGTTGCTCGGAGTAGTAGGCGCCGAGGTCGGTGGAGGCTCGGGACCGGGGTAGACGCGCCGCCAAGAAGAGCCGCCACTCCCCACTCCCTCGGCGTGGGCGTACTTTCGACAAAGAAGTCGCCGTGCGTCGGAGCCGAGCCGTCGTCCACCGCCTTGCCCCACGCCTTCGTCCGAACACAACGCCAGGCGCCGTGCGTACATGCCGTGTCTTCGGTCGAGGATGCGGTAGGCCTTGAGCCCTCGCGTAGCCGGCGAACACTCCCGAGTGCTCCCGCCGCCGAGCTTGCTAATGTGGCCAAGCTCCTTGGCGAACGCGAGGCGAAGACCCGCAAGTGAGAGACCGCCGGCTTGCGCCCATGCCAAGCCTCGTCTGCGCCGTCCGCCGAGCGCCTTTGGTAGGCGAAAGGTTGAGGATGTAAACGGCCGTCACCACCGCCTTTCCCCGTAAGACAAACGCATCCCCTCGCTTGAGAAGGGCCCGAGCCATCCCCACAACCGCCTGGTTGCGCCGCTCGACGACGCCGCTTTGCCGCGGGCTTTACGGTAGGAGTAGTGGCGCCGAATGCCCTCATCAACAGTGATGACGACGCGAATTCAGCCAGCGTGGAATTCGCCATTGCCGTTGTCGGGTGTCGCGACGACGCTGCAGCTTGCGGCCGCGCTCCGCCCCGCCGCAGCTGCTGCGGCGCTTGATGGTCGCGACCTCTCCCTCTCCTTGCCGCCGAGGACCATCACCCACATGTAGCGGGAGAGGTCGCCGACGAGCGGCGGCAGGAAGTAGCGTCGTCCTCCCGGTGGGCGGTGTCACACGGGCCACACAAGTCCTCGGTGGCAAGCTCGAGCCTCTCCTTGGCTCGAAAGCTTGCCCATTGGGAAAGGGAGCCGCCGCTTCGTCAACACGCAGACGCCGCAGAGCTGCTCCACATGGTCGAGGCACGGCGGGCCAGACCATCTCCGTGGCATCGAGCCGCCTGTGGCCTCGAAGTGAAGGTGCCCGAACGCTGCGTCGTGCCGCTGCCACGCCTCGTCGTCCCGACGGCGGCGAGAGACAGAGGGGTTGTGCCACCGCACGTTGAGGACGTGAGTCGATTTGTGCTTCGTTACCTTGGCAAGAAGGCGACGACGGCGATCCCAAATCCTCATGACTCCATCCTCAACCACCACGCCAAGAAACCGTTCTCATCCAAATTGTCCCAAGTCGATGATAGAGTTCCTCAACGCTGGATGTAGTAGACTCCGGTGAGCAACCCGTGCTCACCGTGACACGGCGGTGAAGATGACGGAGCCGACGCCTTGATCTCCACGCCGGAGGCATCCCCAAACTTGACGGAGCCTCGGAACGCTAGAGTCAAGCTCGGTGAAGAACTCCGTCGACCGGTCATGTGATGGGTGGCGCCGGTGTCGAGGCACCACCCGTCAGTCTTGTCGTTGCCGGAGCTGTCGCCGAGGAGGGCGTGTGCTTTTGGCTTGTCAAGGTGGAGAGCCGCTGCGGCCGGTGCCGCTGGAGGTAGCTCGATGCTTGCATGTGCCATGAACAGAGTCGGCTCCTCCTCCTCCGCCTGTGCGACGTGGGCCTGGCCGCGTCGTGGCTGTCGACAGTCCTTGGCCCAATGGCCAAGCTGGCCGCAGTTGCGGCAGGCGTCGTCTCGTGCCGGCTTGTGCCTCATCGATGCTTTCTAAAAATCATGTCCATGGCACTAGCGCTTTTTTTAAAATTCTCACTTGGTCATATGATTTGGTTCCACACTAATTTAGCACTGTTGTGTCTTGGTCATATGATTTGGTTCCACACTAATTTAGCACTGTTGTGTGTTTTGACTTTATTCTGACTTGCTCGTGTTAATGTTTAGATGGATGAAGTGCTGGCAGCAGTAGCTGAGACCATAAAGAACTTTGCGGTCATCTACCTTGTTGACATCACAGAGGTCCCTGATTTCAACACCATGTACGAGCTGTACGACCCTTCGACGGTGATGTTCTTCTTCCGGAACAAGCACATCATGATCGATCTCGGGACAGGAAACAACAACAAGATCAACTGGGCCCTGAAGGACAAGCAAGAGTTCATCGACATTGTGGAGACTGTTTACAGGGGCGCCCGGAAAGGCCGTGGTCTGGTGATCGCTCCGAAGGACTACTCCACCAAGTACCGCTACTAAGAAGTCAAGCATTCACGCCGGGCAGCAGCTGCTGTTTGCTAGCCTAGTATGTTCCCCTTATGCAATCTATTGGGGATGTTTACTCAGACAGTCCTACTGATGATGCTTAACTGTATCTTGGCATGCCCTAGTATATTCAAGTTACTGGCGAGTGATGCTTAACTATATCTTGGCATGCCCTAGTATATTCAAGTTGCTGGCGTCAACTATATCTTGGCATGCCATAGTGAACTTGTAAAGTTGTGATTTGAGAGGTGATTGTTGGAGTGTCAAAAAAAAAAAACAGGAATTGTGTTCTCCCTTGGTATGGCTATATGTTTATACTAATAAGAAACGGTTACTGGTTTCGAACGTGGGAACTGAGTCTGTGGTTTGCTTTGCTATTTTGTATGAACGAGTGCCCCTCAACCTGAACTTACATATAGATGGAGCTCTTTTTGATGGTGCCCAGGCTATGTTTTTAGCTCCGACTATGCAGAAGCTTTGCTTGATTTTTCTATCCTAGGAACAATGCAAGTCTTTTTCATGGTTTTATTACTTATTTGTGTGATTCGTAAAAAATAATTACAGTACGTAGTATATATTGAAATTCATTTTTTTTATTTTTGCCCAGTTTTCACCCAAGCCAGTGGCAGCAAGTGGTGGCTCGGTGAGCTCTGATGAGCTGAGAAATAGCGGCAGTGTGTGTGTTCACGCTTCAACCTCTACTGGGTGCAGATAAGAAAGCAAATGGAAAGCTAAAAAACTTAAAAAGTCACTGCCAAGTCTGCCTTAAACTAGTAGCCGCTTTGTTTGGAAAATCGCTGTAAAATACAAATAGTCCATCTCGGTGTCTTGGGATACAACATGGGATGCAAAATCTCGGAGTGTGGCAGTTGTGGTGCAAATTCAGGTACCTTTACGATGAAGTCATGGGAGGGGCACAGTGAGTGAGTGAGCTACCTACGTGTTCCATTACCGTGCGTGCAATCAGGTCAGGTGACGGAGATTCGCTGCCGGCGCTGCCTGCGGCGTTTGGCTGGCGGGGGGATTGAGCAGGGTGATGGCCTATCGCCTAGCAAGATTCTGATCGCGAGTCCCTTGTCTTGCACGGCGTCGTCGTGCCGGGTGCCGCTACTCGGCTGCTGCGTCAGTTTCAGCTTGTGCTTTTTTCTCCAGGTACAGTGGTACCGGTACCGGTACTAAGCCGCTTTGCCATCCGCACCCGAACAATAATATTCCTAAGATCAAATATTTTGAGCCGGCTTCCGTGGAAAATTCAGACTTTCTTTTTGATGCTGCCTGTCGGGAAGGGAACACAGCGGAGGCCGCGCAGGCCGCAGGGCACTGCCAATCATCAGCTGCCTGACTGATTTGTGAATCGTGGAATGTTCCAAGCTTTGGAAGGCATGTCTTCCGATCACTTGATTTTGTTTGAAACTTCGCTTTTCCATATATGTATACTTTGTTACTATAAAAGTTGGGATGCATAGCTGTTTTCGATGAATACATGTGTAGTAGTAATAACGAATTTATTGTAAAAAAAAACAGCCTTGCGTTATCGTAACATGTTTTTGGACGAGATTTCGATGCATACGAATGTGCTGTCCCTGAGATCAGATAAGCAGTAGGGCACTTGAGTTACAACTGCCCGCTTAGAATTCAGACTTGGATAGCGCCGTGCTTACATATATGCTATTTTTACGTCGTGCTGGATCGACCCAAATATATATATAGGTCTGTCATGCCACCCATCGTGCCAAGTTCTTAGACAGGTGGCTCCATTTTTTTCCCGTAGTGTAGCATATTTTGAGTTTGAGCGGTTGAGCCGTGTACCATGAACTGGAGAGGTTCAGCAACAGATCAGCTTCCGGCTTCATTTGGACTGAGATAATCCCTTTTAGGCCATGTTCGGTTATAAAGGATTCCCAGCCGCACAATTCGTTCTCAAATTTGTACTAGCCAGGAGTTGTTTCGCGCCAGCAACAGCCCGTTTTGGCAGGCTTTTAATCAATACAGGACGTATCAAAAGGGATTTGTACAGAAATCATTTTGTTTCTGATGCATGCGTTGCATGTGTACTATTAAGAGGAAAATAGTTTTAGCTTAACTGCTGCCTCCAGTGCGTGGGGTTATTAAGCGAGCATGGACGCTGGTGTCCTGGAGGATTAGGACGTGAAGTGACTTGAAAACATGCATAATCATCACCGGGGCCCGGCCCGGGGGCGTGTACGTGCCAGTCAAACAAACGTACTCCTAGTGTCCTAGCATTGATCGGACCACGTATAATTGGAGGGCCCTCCTCCTCATCATCATGATGCCCCTTTTGTTTTGAGACGGCAGCTCCGTTGGAACGTTCCTTGCCAAGGGAACGTTCTTCACATAGATATCTCTCCATCAAATCATTGTTTCGTACTGTATATACTCGTACATGCATGCACGCGTGAGCAATCACGGTCCACTGTCGTCCCATCACAGTGCCAGCTGGATGCCTCTATCTATTTTTATTTAACTATTTATCACCATTATTTTTTTCTGAAGTGATGTATGCTAGCGACTAGAGAAACGAACCTGAACGATTCTTCAGGCTGTACTATTGATTTCTTGAGATAGATAATGAACGAATAGCTACCGTTGTTTATCCCCCAATTCAAAATTAATCTTCTGTGTCGTCTGAGTTCATGACTGACAGAAGAGCGAAGTAACCTGGCTTGGACGTTTGAGTCTCAAGTCCAAATGAACATGATATTTGGTGACAATTTCTTGTCAAGATAAAATAGGGGGACAATTAGGGATGCGAGTGGGTACCCAATGATGTTTTGTTTTTGGGTCAGCTAACTAAATACAGTCAAATGCCATTCTAGTTCATTTTTTCACTTCCCTCAAACTACGAAAATACCATTCTAGTTCATTTGATCATTTTTAGGGTCGACTCAACGACCTAAAATAGTTTGAATATGCATCCCTAGGGACAATAGATTCGAGTTTAGATGACCAGAAGCTTATATATACTATAGCTAGCTTATCCTACTGTCTAACTTCTCTAGGACTCCCTCTGTCTAGGAAATAATGCAATTCTAGCACAGTGTCATGATTTAGTATCTTAAGTTCAAGCAATTATAGATAAAAAAAATCAACATTTATGATAACGAATAATATCATTGGATTAATTACGAAATATATTTTCATAATAAATCATTTTGGCGCCGTAAATGTGAATAGTATTCACTAGAAATTTAGTCAAACATGAACTACTTTTACCGGCACGTAACCCGTAGTTAAGTTCTTTTCTGGATGGATGGAGTATATACTATAGCTTATCCTACCGGCTAACTTCTCTGGCCACCGTTCCGTACCAAACAAAGGCGCTTGGACCTGCCACAGCCGCTAGCTCTAGATTAGGCGTGAGAAGGTGAATCCCGAATATCAAGGAGCAAAGAGTGTGTATAGCTAGAGAATAAATCTTGCGACATTAAATATAGGCAACTTCATGTATGCATGCATGCACCATTAAGGGCCTGTTTAGTTGGCAATTTTTTTTGGTTTTGGACACTGTAGCACTTTCATTTGTATTTGGCAATTAGTGTCTAATTATGGACTAATTAGGTTCGAAAGTTTCGTCTCGTGATTTCTCACCCAACTGTGTAATTAGTTTTTTTTTCGTCTACATTTAGTACTCCATACATGTGCCGCAAGATTCGATGTGATAAATACTGCACAAAATTTTTTACGTTTTGGATAAAACTAAACAGGGCCTAAGTCCTCACACCTGGTGATTGGCTCGCGCGAAGCGCCCAACAACTAGCACCAAGAAAACAACAACGTGAAAGCTAGTCCCTTCGTTTACAGTGCCCATATTTACTGCTAGTGAGATTTGAGGAGATATTCCTCTAGATATAGGCCCTGTTTGTTCCGAGCTCCTAAAACTTTAGTTCCTAAAAGTTTTAGATAGCCTTCTAAAATATTCTAAAAGAGTGTTTGGTTGTACCTCTTAAAACTAACTAAAAGCAATAAATGTTGTTGAATAAAGACACTTTTACCCTTCTTTAGGAGAGAGAGAGGGGGGAAGGGGACAATAAATGAGGGGTAGTGGGGGTTCAGGAAGAACTTTAGGAGGTTTTAGGAGGGGTGGAGCTCCTAAAGAAAAACCAGTCTCCTAAAACTTTTAGTTAGGAAGTGTTTGGTTCTTTAGATAGATTCTATCCAGATTTTAGCTCCTAAAGCTTTTAGGAGGAGTAACCAAACAGGGCCATAGGGTGTGTTTAGTTTGGGAGGTAAAAATTTTTTGGTGTCACATCGGATATGTCGAAAGGATGTCGAGAGGTTTTTTTGGATACTAATAAAAAAATAAATTACAGAACCCGTCAGAAAACTGCGAGACGAATCTAATGATACTAATTAATCGGTCATTAGCACATGGGGGGTTACTGTAGCACTTAAGGCTTTTCATGGACTAATTAGGCTTAAAAGATTAGGTGTCACATCAGATATGTCGAAAGGATGTCGAGAGGGTTTTTTGATACTAATAAAAAAACAAATTACAGAACCCATCAGTAAACTGCGAGACGAATCTAATGATACTAATTAATCGGTCATTAGCACATGTGGGGTTATTGTAGCACTTAAGGCTTTTCATGGACTAATTAGGCTTAAAAGATTCGTCTCGCGATTTTGCCGAGAACTGTGCAATTAGTTTTTTTTTCGTCTACATTTAGTACTCTATGCATGGGTTCAAACATGCTCTTTTACTGTATGAGGCAAAAAAATTTGGAAACTAAACAAGGCCATAGCTGCAATGCCTTACATACCTGCCTATACGAAAAACGTGTGAACGCCTAAAAAACACTACACAACGCTACAATAGCATCTAACGTCTATTGCTAAAAGTTAACATTAGTATTGAATGGTGAGTCGCTAAAGCTTGTCCTCGGACCGTCAGTTGCTAATATCAAATACTGGGATGGATGATCCGTTGCTATAAATATTTTGCTTTTGCATTGGATCGTGAGTCGCTATATATG